TTGGAAAGAAAAAAAATTTCCTTTAATTGTTTTATGGAAATTATTATTATTCAAACGAAAATAATCATGTTTATTTTGCTTTTTAGCAGATTCGCAATGTCTTGGATCTTATGCGAAGAGGAGAAGGCCTAAGATTTGAGGTTAGATTCTTTCAAGCCGTTTTTTGTTTTCGATTTTTCAAAACAGTGAAAACGCGTTTTTTGAAAACAAATTAAAAATTTACAAAGAAAACATTAGACGACAAATTTGTCGTGTTTTCAGTTATAATCAAGTCAAAATTTTCAAAACGCGTTTTTGATGTTTTCAAAATGTCAAAAAGAACACATTTTCAACAATCTCAAAATGAACACTGAAAACACAAAGCTCAAAACTATGTTGCTCGGACTCGGGTACGGGTATCGGATACGGGTACGGATTTAGGTGGCGGATCTTTTATTTTTTAAAATAGAGGATACGGGGATTTCGGACACGTGTACATGTGTACGTCTTTAAAACTTCAATTATTTTTATTTTTTTTTTCCAAATACTTCATATGTAAAAAGAAAACTTAAATAATAATTAAGTTGTAAATTGTTGAAAGATAAACATGACACTTAAAAATCAACTAGAAAACAATGAATGGTGGAATCGTTGATTGTTGGCTTGAAGAAGGAAATAGACTTGGATTGTTTCTTCTTCCAATGAAATGATGGTCCAATGAAATGTTAGATTGTTTGTTCTTCCAGTAACATCAATTGGATGCACGGGCCATATTTGGTCCAATGAGATGATGGTTAAATTGCAATTTTTAAAATTAAAATTTTATATTAAAATTAGTTGTTATATTAAAATTATTAAAACAAAAATAATTTGTTTTAGAATTTATTAAAACATCTTTTTTTAGCTTTTTGTATAAACATTTTAAAAATCGAAGAAACTAAAATTAATCAAAAATATTATTTGATTACTTCCATTTTGTCAAGTTTTGAAAAAATATTAATTTCAGAAAATGTTATTAAATTGTTCTAAAAAAATTATTTATGTTGATTTTATAATTATCGGTCAAGTATTTTGGCCAAAGAAAATCATATTTTAAATTTTTTGAAAATTTTGTAACAACATTAATCATGATATTTTTTAAAACTAAAATGATGTTATCTAGATCAAATGAACCAAAATCATATTTAAGAAATAATAAATATCATGTAATTTGCTCAATCAATAAGGCTATAAAATTCAAAGAAAAAGATAAATAAACTCAACCAATAAGGCTGTAAGATTATAAATATACTTCAACTACAATGAATAAAATTTTTTTTTTTTTTTTAAAAAGCAATGTTTTAAAGCCCAAAAGGCCCAAAAATTAAAACAAAAGATAGGCCCAAGTACGACACCCCTTGTTCTTCTTTCCTAAACCTGACGTAACATTCTGGCTTTACAACAATAGCGTTTCTGGCTCTGCAACAATGGCGGCAGCAGTTCAATAAGTTCCCCCTCCCTCCCGGCCGTGTCTAGTTGAAATTTTCCGTGTCCAATCTGTACCCGTGTCATGTCATGTCGACACGGGTATGCCGGCCAAAAAGAAGGGTCCAATCATCACAAAATAGGATTACACAAGACCTTTTGAATTGTGGAAAAAAGATCTTTGATGATCAGAAAGTTGTTTGCCCATTAAATGCATGTGGAGAAAAACATAAGGATATAAAGAATGATTTAGGATCTGACTATTGAATTTATTCACAATTCCCTTAGAAATAAAGAGTTGGAACTTGAAACAGAACAAAAAGAAGTTCCGCATGTTGAGAATTTAATATCAAATTCTAAGAATTCAACTAAAGGGGTGAGTAATTACTGTCAAAATAAGAAAAAAATAGGAAAATAATAAGGGCAAGGATAAGAAATCATTTAAGGGGAAATCAAAGAAAAATAAGTGCTATTATTGTGGTAAGATGGGACACTTCATAATGGATTCTTTTAAAAAAAAATTATCAAAAAGGTGAATCCCATAATGAAAATGGCTCTTCTACTGTTGTTGTTGCTGTTAAAGAAGCAGGACCTATATTGGGGTAACCTTTGTGTAACACCCCGAAATTTTTAGAATAGAATTTAATTAGTTTACATGCCGAATTTTTTTATTTTTAAAAGTTGAGGGACTAAAGTGATATATGTATTAACTTCGATTTTGAGCGACATTTTTTAGATATTGTTAAAGCGACTGAAAGTATATCAATATGTGTCTCGTTGGATAGCTCGTTTTTAATCATGTAAATTAGGCTCAAGAGAAAATCAATTTGGGTAAGCGAAGCCCAAGTTATCAAGGTCGAAATATTTTGTCTTAAATTGTAATTAAGGTGAAAGATGTTAGCATAGGAATATTGATAGTAAAGTCCTTGATTTCAGTGAAGGATTAATGTGAAAGATGTTAGCATAGGAATATTGATAGTAAAGTCCTTGAAGTTAATTTTGTACTAAAATCGACTTATTTTGTGAAATTATTGGATTTTGTTTTATTGTTCTACCTAAGTCATTTTTGTAAGGATTCAAAAATTCGTAATAAAATTATTATCAATTTTATTTGTTAATTTGAGTAAATTGTTGGATAAATATAATTTTTTTTTTTTTTACTTATGCCATAGTCCAACAACATCACCAAAAAAAGGAAAAAAAAAAAAGAAAAAAAGAGAGAGATATACAACAACGGTAAAAAAATGTTAAAAATAAGGATATAAACATAGAGATCAGGCCCAAAAAAAAAAAAAATTGCAAACATATTATCAACAATATAAAAAAAAACGTTGCAAAAAGATTATTAGCAACAATCAATGAACGTGACAAAATGTTATTAGTAACATTAAAAAAATGCAAAAAATTTATTAGCAACATTTAAAAAATGTTGTCGTATCATTCTACTCTACGACAATATCAGGGTTTGCAACATACGTTTGAGAGTTACAAAAGATTTTCGGCAACGTTTCTAAATGTTGCAAATAACTATTTTTGTTGTAGTGACAAGATTAGTCTTTTAAATAAACATTATACATTACCTTAAAATGAAAATGATAAATTTATGTCAATATTTTTGGATTAGCACCTGTTTGGTCTACATTAATATTTTCATTTATATTCTTCAACTCATTTTCAACCACACATTTTTCAATAAAATAATATTTTTCATCACATCAATAACTTTTTCTTCTTTTTCAACCACATATTCAACATCCATCACATCAACAAAATGTATTATTTTACCCAAAATGTGCACCAAACAGGAGCTTAGTAGGTTAAGTTGAGTGTTTTTTATTTTAAAATATTAGTAATTGTTTGAACCTCTTTTTTAAAAAAATTCATTTTTAATTGTACATTCTCCAACAAAATGATATTTTACGTAAATAGAAATATTTTTAAAATTTTTAACCATGCTCAAAAAATTTCTATTTAAAAATATCCTTTTTTCTTAAAAGGGTTCAAACAAAACTTCAAATTACTTTGTCATAAATCTAGAGATGTGATGTGATGTAATTTTTCCATGAAAGACAAAAGAAAGACGTCTTTTTCTCGACTAGACAAGCAAAAATGACATATTGTCGCCAATTCCCATGGCCTTTTCTTTATCCCATAACTTTCTTTGACTATCTATCATTTAACTCATGTGTTCATATTGGTCCTCAATTTCCTAATACATCTAAAATATTACGAACTTGAGTTGCAAGCAAGAGGCATTTTAATAATTAAATAAGTGAATAGATTTTTCAAGCTTTGAGTTTACATTACTTCAATTTAATTCATTGTATTGTCATCGTCATGTCTTCTCTAGATCAATATTTTTGGGATAATGCTATATGTATAACACTTTGGTTACAACAATGGATGACAATTTTTTCACGAGATTGTCATCCTTTATTGTAACACAAAGTTGTACAAGGAAAATTATTCATATTTTTGAAGAAAGATTACAAAATAAATAATTTCCTTCAATATTTAAAGCTGTTTATCGTAGATTACGGAAGATTTTATAGAATTAAAGAATAGAATACATATCTAAATAGCTTTAAAAATAATGATTTCAGTAAACCCTTCGTTGAATTGTTAAATTTGACATGAAACAAAATATCGCGATGAGTGAAAAATAAAATTAAAAGTGCATTAGTTATTATTTCAAAAAATTCAAAGTTTAGTACTCGTGTGAAAGTGAAAAAGTACCAAGTGATTTTTTGTAAAAGTAATTTTTTGGAGGACGTCAAGATTTATATCCGAAACTTAGACACAGATTTCAATTTTTGTGGACTAATTTTACACGCGTCAAGCTCTTAGACGCACCCATCTTAGAACGTTTCCTTCCATTAAAATACTCAATAGTTTTTTCACATTCAAACTAACTTGTGTAGTGATTTCGTAGGTGCATCTCCCGCAAAGTTTCGAAGAATAATCACACGCTCATTTTCCTCTGGGGATTATTTGAACTGTATCCGGGTAAACGTTTCATTTTCATCTTTCGTTTGCACTTTTTTTTCCCTAATTTTATTCTGTATCAGTTTATTAGATTGAATAAGTAAAGAAGAGACAGGTTTAAATGACTGATGTCTTTGTATCCATAATCCAATTTTATTTTTCTTAATCTCCACAAATTCTTGGAGAAGGGATAGGAAAAAATGGATTTATCAATATGAATGGTACTGATTTTGCATGTGATCAATTTTTGCATTCTGTAATATGGTTTTGACTGAAAAATAAATAAAAAGGAAAATTTGTGTACTTTTGGAATATTTGGTTTTGTAGCCGGTTTGACGAAAAATATTCAGGTAGTTGACTCCAAATTTATTGGGAACGAGCTCAATTTGTTGTTATTGTTGCCAAAGTAGAATATGGATGGTCATTTGCACTGGCCGAGCTAGGTCTCAGATCCAATGGGAACCTAATTTAGTTATAAAAAATTTTCAAACACACAATATATTAGTATAAAAGGTTAAAAAAAAAAAGCCGTATAATTATTTTTTTCTCAAATTTCAGTGGTGGCCACTGGCCCACCTCCCTCTGCCACTGGTCATTTGAATGTGTTGTTCTTTTGCCTTTAGAATATCAAAGTCATGTATGGTATGCTAATTGTATTCAGCAGTGTCAACTACTCTTTCTACTATAATAAGGTCGAGTCTGTCCAAAACGTCACAATACTGTGTAAAATGTAGTTAAAGTAGGTGTAATTGGATAAGCCATTGTCTTTATGTCAAAAATAACGACTGATATATGATTTGAAGTCATGCTTTCACCAGATAATCCAGCACCGAGTGAGGGAAAATGGCTTATGGTTCAAAGTGCACGTTGCATTCCCTGGCAATTCTTGTTTTTGTGACTATAGTTCAATGTTCACAAGCTTATTTAAGGAATGAAAATGGGGTAAAAACTGCAGTCTTTTTATCACCTAAATTTGTGATGGAGCCAGGGTCGGTTTCTGATAAATACTTTTACAACATCGATTTCCCTCGAGGTCATATTGGTCTCAAGAGTTTTGACGCTGAAGTAATTGATGAGGCAGGGAATTCCATTCCCCTCCACGAAACCTATCTCCACCATTGGCTTTTTGTAAGATATTATCAACGTAAACATAATAGTTCTGATGTTGCAAAGCACCATGGTGATCTGGGGCTCCATGGGCATGATTTTGTTGTTGTAAAGAATAGTGGAGTGTGTGACTATGGCCTTATACAATATTTCGGCCTTGGATCTGAGACTCGAAGAACATCCACATATGTACCAGATCCTTATGGAATTCAGATTGGAAATCCAGAAGATATCCCTTCTGGTTTTGAGGAGAGATGGATGCTCAATGTGCATGCAATTGATTCTCGGGGTGTGGAAGATAGGATGGGATGCACTGAGTGCCGGTGTGATTTGTATAATGTCACAGTAGATGACTATGACCAACCCTTGCCACCTGATTATAATGGTGGCTTGAGATGTTGTTATGATGAAACGAGATGTCGGATGAGACAAGGGTTTAAAGGTGTGACGAGAAGTCTCTACTTGAAGTACACTGTCAAGTATGTTGATTGGTATACCTCTATTGTGCCTGTAAAAATCTATATCCTTGATGTCACTGATATTTGGACAACAGCAGATGAATCCAGAGGGATAAAGTCTAGACATAGATGCCAGGTACTATATCGTATTCCTTCTTTTGTTATTTGATTGATTATTTATTAAAAAGACATGGTTTGAAAAATTAATGTTCAAGAGAGCTTAGAACCATCAAGGCCAATATTTATGATGCGCTTTTATCTATTAGTTTGAATGATTTCAATGATCAAATATCTGTTTAAATGTAGATTATGTAGTTGAAACAACATTTTCTTCGATTTGTATATCCTTTAGATGATATATCACCCAGTGGGTGGGTGCTAGAAAGATAAAGGAAATGCAGATCGTGGCGACTAAGAGTTTTGTTAAGATTGTCGATAACATTTTGTAGTATATTTAGAACCTAAAAGTAGATTAACATGCATTTGATAGGTAGTTGATGTGTAATGTATATTTGTGTGTATTGAATGAAAAAACAGATAGAAATTGAAAGGAATTACAATAGATTGTGAGCATTCGAGAGGCTCATTCTCTTCCCAATGATATCCAATTTTTTACCTAAGTGAAATGAAACTACCCTTCCCTATTTATACTGAGAAGTATATACAGTTAATTCTACTTAAATTCCCATATTACCCTCCACTACTTTAGCCAACCAACTAGTAACCTATCAGCATTTACATGGGGGAAAATTTTTAGAATCATGAACATCAATATGTCGGAGGCAAATTGTTGAATGGGATGAAAATTTGTGTTAAAAAAGCCATGTATCTTTTCATAATATCTTTGATCACTATTTCTGTTTCTTCATTTGAGTCAATACTCAGTTGAACTGTTATGATATAGATTGAGTATGAAGTTCCGTCTTGTGCTGTTGACGCGGGTAATGATTATTGTACTCATACCAAAAGTCTACGTGTAAGTTTGCCGACTGGTGGCGATGTCGTCTATGGTGTTGCACACCAGCATGCTGGCGGTATTGGTTCAGCTCTTTATGGGGAGGTAATTATTTGTATTTTTTTTTATTTTTTGTGTGGCCAGACAGTCATATATCTTCTCTAATCATATATTAAATTATTTACTAGGTTCCAAAGCTGACTTATTTGACTTTCGTCAATGGCAATCTTGATAGGTTACCCAAACAATTGTATGCTTTGAACTTTTGGAATCATTCTGTTAAACACATACGTCATGTGATACTTTCTTCTAATACACTGTCAAAATTAGTCATCGCTCAAATGATGTCTGAGTATAGATACAGAGACGTGTTCGCTGATATACGTAAGGATTCATGTGCATCTGTTCTGGTTGAGGGTATGCGTATGCACAGGTATACCAAGTGCATTTGCCTAGCCAAAAGAGTTATAGGGTGGGAATGTCTGGATTGAGGTACAGAACAAATTTTCACTCCTAAGCTACCCTTGTCTCACTTAAATACAGGAAAATAAATTAATAAAATTATCTGCTTTGCATAGGTTCAAATTTCACACACAGAAATTTTTTCTTTCAGATTTTTAGAATCTTACAAGTTTCCAGGAGAAACATAGGGGTATCATTTTTATGCCAGTGTTTGTCTTCCAATATTATTGTAGATTGAATTAAGAACTATGACGAAACAAAACGTCAAATAACCGTCAACCATGACGACACTATTAAACTGTACCACAAGAAACCCTAGATAATCAGAAGAGTCCATGTACTGTAACAACTGCTCTTTGTAGGAACATTTGGGAAGGCAAGTTTTACTTATCCAATGTGTATTCTTATGAATGACAAATCAGCAAAGTTGGATGATCAGAATGTTCACTGCCATGAGCCATTGCTAGTCATTATTTAAGATACAATTTAAATTTTTTCACTATCTTGTAATCTTTTATTGAATTTCGAAGTATCCATTTACTTATCTTATGAAGTCCGTCTTATTTTCATAATGAGTTTATCACCAATACACAGCTACTTTTGATATCCTGGACAAACTGATACTACTCATTTTAAAGAATTTTGCAACTTTTTCCTATTTACAAACAAAAACCATATGTAATGACAATTAATAAAACTGTTCCATTTGTCTTTTAAGTGTTTGTTTGGTACACATCTAACCAGCTCACATAGTTCCCCGTAAGGGAAAAAGATGCAATCATGATGTTTAAATGATACGCATGACTTTGTGGAGAAGGTTTTATGGCTAAATATTTCTTCAAAATTGATTCTTCTAGTTTCATCTTGGATGAAGCTATATTATATGCAAATACTCGTAAATCTAAAAGTTTGTGCAAGCAATTTTATAGGTGGTTCCTGCACTAGATACAACTGTCAATTTAGATACAAGTGTAGTGGTATATTTTCTTTTGCAATAGAAACTTTATAGTTTCCCCTGTTAGTTAATTGTTTTCAGGGACACCTAATGAAGTTAGCTACGGGCAATAACAATGCATCAACCTTACCGTATGGAAAAAGCAACCACTCGGAGAATCTAGAGCTAACTTGAGTACTGTTCCACACATACTATTCATCGTATTTGTTGGCATTCCTTCCCAATAACCCTGTTCAAGGCTATTTTTTGGTTGAAACGGCTAATTTTATTCACCCCCTCCCCCTTCCCTTTTGGAGGAATTTCGGTAAGACTTATTGTCCCCAGGCTTAATGCCCGAGGAAGGGGAGGAAGGAAGTGTGTGGATCTAAAGGACACTTGGTCAACTACAAATGACCGCTTCAGTCCATATGAAAATATGAAATTATTAATGCATTTGCAGGGATTTTCAATGAGTTTTTTCTGATGAAATATTCCAGGATGGAAGAGTGATATGCTCGTCAAATCCAATGTATGGAGAAGGAAACGAGCCTGGAAATGAGGCAGGTTACATTGTGGGAATGTCTACATGTTACCCTCTACCTGGCTCTGTCAAGATATCTTCTGGGGAGACGCTAACTCTTGTATCCAACTATAGCAATGCACGGAGACATACAGGAGTCATGGGGCTCTTCTACATCTTGGTCGCAGGCTCATCACCACCAAACACAGTAGTGCATGCTCCAGCAGAAGTAAGACCCTTATTCTCTGCACATTATATTGCCCCTCAATATGATGCTAAGTGATCATAACTGAGATGCATACTATAAACTATCTTTGATATGCTAAAGAACAATGTGTTAAAAGAAGTGTAACATGGTGTTGCATTCATACAGTTGTAAATCTTTTGAGTCCTTGAATTGATGATACTAGAGTAAGGAAGCAGTTCATAAAACAACATCAATTATGTAGATAATTTAAATAAATAAGATTGTCTCCTCTCTAACAACTTTAAATTTTAAGATAGGGTGGTTCAATAAGGTATCAGAGCAAACTGAGGTCATGAACTCAAGTTTGGCCATCTCCCGTTTATGAAATTTGTGCTTATTCAGGCCCTTGATGAAAACATGAATTTAATCTGCACTTGGGGGGCGTGTTGCAAACATAATTAATAGATAACTTTGTTAGCTTTCTAATAATTTAAGCTTTTAAATGAGATGATTCAACTTAGTATTTAGGTATCAGCTTTAGCAATCATTCAAATGAGGATTCCGGTTCATTCTTTTTTGGGGTTGCTGAAAAATGATCTTTCGATGGTAAGTGAATGATAACTACATCAACTTAAGCAGTGCAGAGCCTGAAATTTGAGTTATGGTTCATGTGCATATATTAAGCCTTATTTTCCATTTTTTTTCTTTTCTCCAGTCTGATTATAAAGCTCTTGTTCATAGAATCATAGAAGATATATGTTCAAAGTTATCTCATTGATAACAAATATCATCAATTAGATCCTATTTTACCGATTGATTTTTATGAGTCGTGTGGACTGTAATATCAATCATAACGAGTCAATAAGATATACTTCTATATGCTACTCAATAAAGTTACTTGTGAAGCGATTCTGCATCACTGGTTGTTTTTGAGTCAATGGAATAAGTTCTTGACCTGTAAAAATATGCTAAAATAACAAAGACTATTCATTAGTCTGGATAAATTGGATAGGATTCTTAGGATAGCCAAAGTAATTCTGATCAAGTAATCTATTATTTCAAGAGAGAGAAGGTAGGACGGGAAATTCCCCTGCCTACTCTTCATGATTGTACTTGGATTTTCGAGTTTCATAAATGTGCTGCTCATCTTTTGTAGGTACACCAGACATGGATGATACCATTATCTGTTTGGGGTGTTGCGCTGTTTGGAGGTGCAATCATTCTGGTTATTATTTCTGCATTCCGATATAGGATCAGAAAAGAGGAAGGCTATGAAGCTATAGTCATGTGAGCTTTTCCTTTCAAGTTTGGCTCACCACAGAGATTTTCTGGAGTCTTGTTGTATGACTATATAATTTTATGCAATATTTACCGGTGCTTTTAATTCCTTTTGGATTCACGGGATAGTTATACTTCAATAAGATCATGTTATAGTTGGATTGTTGATTGAATTTGTAGTACAATATTTCTTTGCATAACTTGGTACATAATGTCAAGGGGTTGGTTCATTTTCTTGTTGCTTGTTGTTGTCGATTTTATATCTCGCAAGTGTACGGATAGTAACAAGTAATAAAGTAGATCTATGAGTCTGGATATCAACTACAATTTGATTTAAAACAAATAAAAGTAGTTATGTTTTCTTTTGTGATTTTTTTTTATTTTAAATATCATAAAACGATAAAAAATGATTTTAATGATGGTGTAAGAGTTAGGATTTATGAGTTCACCCTAGCTATCCCCTTAATCTCAATGATCAAATTCTATGATAACAAATAAAATTAGTTATGTTTCTTTTGTGATTTGTAAGTTTCCTAAAATGATTTTTAATGATGGGTTAAAGAGTTATGATTCATGAGTTTACTATAGCTACTCCCTTAATCTCCACTATCAAATTCTAAATCAAGTTCTATAACAATTGATTATATTTATCCCGTCGAATTCCAATAACATATTCAATTTACTTCTCTCTAGCTCAAATTGGTTCTATTTAATTAAGTCAATTTCATACATCTATGTGAATTCGAATACACTTTAGTTAAGCGTATTAAATCTCTAAGAATCTATGTAACGACCACATTAAATAGAAAATGTATCTCTACACTTTTATACTAGTTTTCGGATTTTACTATGTGGTTTAAACAAATAATATATATCTCTACGTCATTATCGTTCACAAAATCAATAAATTAGTTGTCATTTAATCCAAGTATAAGACTAGAAGTAAAAACAATTCACAAAATCAATTGAAAATTTAAAACTTCTTAATTAAATTAAGGTTCAAAACTAAGTTACAATCATTATCATTACTAATTACTTTTTTTTTTTTTTGATGGAATGATTAATTACTTAATTAGACGTCATGGAAGAATAAAAATACAAGAAGAAACTAAAGTACATTACCCGGTATTAATGAAAATTGAGAAAAATGTAAAGATCTTGCACCAAGAATCCACTTCTTCTTGTGAAATCCTTGAAACTCTAACTTCTTCATTGATTTATTGACTTTTTCATCCTTTTGGCTTGAATAATATATGTACAATAAATTCCCCAAGTATTGGCTTGAATTTATATGTATAATAAAACCCTACAAACCCCCTTTTAATTGTTGGACAAATGCATGTATTTATAGAACAAGATTTAGGCAAAATCATTGTTCAAATTGAATTCCATCAAAGAGTTTTAAGAATAAAAAGGAAACAAATTCATTTTCCAATTGAACTATTTTCTCATGTGACTTTAGTCCTTCATCTTCTAATATTGTATTTAAGCCATTTTCATTCAAAAATCATTAATAATTGATATAAGGCAAGTTCTGGAGTTTGTAATTTAGTCCCAAACTTTTTAAATGTCAAATTCAATGCTCGAAACTTATGTATTTTCACCAAATTCTCTATTAATACTTCCAATTTATCTCTTGCAATTTGATTAATCTTCAATTGCTTCAAATAAACTCCAATTAAGCTCCAAACAACCTCTTTTCAAAAAAATTGTATCCACGTTGTAATTTTCCTACAATTAACATAATTCACAAATTAAATAGATATTCACTCAATTTACATATAAATAAATCTCTACTGATATAAAAGAGTCAATCCATAGATTACTGTTCATTTGTGAAGCATTTTGCCTCCCCATTTTATCCCCCACGAATTACCATTTTCTCCACTCTATTAACACCGCAGATTACAGTTCATCTGTGAAACAATTTTAATCCACAGTGTATATAAAATAGAAGGGCACTAAGGGACAAAAAAAAGGCAAAAAAAAAAAAAATGCAAAGAAAAGTCAATTTTAGTGTGCGCAGGTGAGAAAAGGTTTTAACATAACAAAAATGGCAAAAAGAAAATTAATCAAACTCCCCGTGTGCGTACGGGGAGCATTAAAAAAGGCAAAGAAAAGTCAATTTTAGAGTTTTAAAATAACAAAAATGGCAAAAAAAAAAATTAATCAAACTCCCCGTGTGCGCACAGGGAGCATCAAACTTCCTATGCGCGGACGGGGAGTTTCGCAGTGAATTTTTTTCCCCGATTAATCCAGTTTGTTTTTAATAGCTTCATAAACGAAATGCTATTATTCATGAAACAAATAGCGTTTAATTTAAGTAAAAAGATAAAAATGGATATCCACTTAATTAAAATGATTGAAACGCAAAAATAAAAAAATAGAACAAAGAACAATTATACATCCAGTGAAGTATAGAAAGAATAATTTTTCGTCTATTTAAAAATAATTTGAAATGAAAAACAACTCGCGGGGGTCGAGAGGGAAAGTGGCAAAGTACGAGTAACTCGGTTGCAGAATTGTTTTTTATTTTTAAAATAACTCGGCAAATTTCACTGCCAAAGATTGAAGAATTTTATAGATGAGATATTTATGCAACGGTACATAAGGACCGGTTTGTTTTTAATAGCTTCATAAACGAAATTCTATTATTCATGAAACAAATAGCGTTTAATTTAAGTAAAAAGATAAAAATGGATATCCACTTAATTAAAA